TTTTGTTTCAGGAGAAGATTGAAGACAAAAAGGAAGGTGTCTGTGGGAATGAAAGGTTAGTTTGTTCAAGACAGTCGAGATAAAGAATATAAATTTACAGGCAGTGAGATCGTACATGTGAGAAGTTAGCGGGTTTAAAATCAACAAACCGAAATTTGTAATTTAGGCAAACATGTCGAAGCAAAAGAATGATGCCTAAAACGTGGAAAAAGTTTTATTGGTGGACAAAATATTGTTATGGAAATAGAAATATAAACGAAAGCTTTGAAGTAAGACACTGGCAGATGAACGTGGTCTAGGGTTACACATCCATAGATACATCCCCATTACACGACATGAAAATGTATTCCCAAAAGGCTTATCAAATCTATAAGAACCTCAGATTTTGGAACATTACAAGAAAGTTGAAATGTCTGGAACGTAGTATTGATGGAAAAATATAGTATAAAGCAGCAGTGCTTTCAGAGGTGACCTTTTCAATTGATGGCAGTGGGAGATTGTATATGCGATAATGTTTTATTATTTTTCTAAATATGGAGTGAAAGACCATCCATCGAAGCCATCTGCCAGACCTGAGGGAGCCTGCAACGAATGGGAAATGAACAAGTGTAGGTGTAAACAATGCGATTATCTCAAACAGGTGGAAAGAAAGGTAAATAAACAGAAGATATCGCAATGCCGCGTGTGAATACCACATTTATCTTCTATTTTTGATAAAATCTCTAACTTTACTAAACTGTGACAAAAAGATTGCCTCCACTTCCTTCAATAATATTTTTTTTCTCAAAAAGAAGTTAAATTCAACTTAAGCAAGGCTTGGGGGGGTGGGAACGCATGCGGATCATTCGGCTCTTAAGGCCTCTTCGCGCCATCGCTCAGGGCCCTTACACAAAGAGTTTTTTATTTATGTTTTTCAATAGATGCGCACCTTAGTTTGGCATACAAACAAAGTGGAAGAGATTACCTGAGGTTGAGTTTCGAAGTATTTCTTGCCAATTTTTCACGAATTTAGTGTTAAGCACTCCCTTTTTACCTCCAGATAAGGAAAGCGAAGGAAAATACCAATGGAAAAAAACCCTGCACACAAGATGCCCCGGCCTGGGACTGTTCAAAATCAGTTTCAAAGAAGTCATCTTTAACATCCGTCTCAGTGTCAGTGCCATCATCAATTTCACCTTCAACATCACACTCGTGTACCACTGTGTCGTCTGAAGACCGTACGTACGCTAAGCCGAAAGCAAGCGTCCCTCACTACCAAAAGAGACGATCTTCCAAAAACGTTGTCGAAATATACAACAAGAACAGGTAAAAAAAGAGCAACGTATGCTCTACCATTTCAGTGCCCCATAATAGAGTTTACAATGACGAGTACTATAAAGGTTTAACATTATCCAACCACAGCGTGAATGTTTTGTCTGAGTATTTTTTTGTATGTAGAGGTCTCATCGTTGTCGTGAATTTTTTTTTTTTGGTTTTGTGTTTCATTGTCAACCACTTGGCTACTACACTCATGATTTTGTGTTTTAGCGGTGATGAAAGTCACGTCGTGGACACTGAGAGATTATCGCACGAGCTAAAATGTGCAATAGAAAACGAAAATATTAGGTAAGTATAACTTTATCAATTTTTTTATCAATCAAGTCTTTACTTACAGTAAGATACCAACACATGTCTCAAATACCTCATGGTAATAAGTCTTACTTTGCGATTTTCCCCCACAGACGCGCTGTGACGTTATTAAAGCGGGGTGCCGACCCCAATTTGTTGGTGAATGGATTAAGTGCACTCCATGTTGCAGTGGGATTGGACTCTCCTCTCAATCTCCGTTTCACCCGCCTCTTGTTGGACTATGGTGGTAACCCTAATGTTCCCTCTACAGAAGGCTTAACACCCATACATGTAGCCATCATGTGGGAACGAATTAACTGCCTCAAGATTCTGTTTAATCGCGGGGGGAACCATGACTGGCCAGAAAATAAAGAAAAGAACGCCCCACGACAAGTGAAAGCTTTTAAAGCTGAAACTGGTACCAACACATCTGACTGCTTCTTGAAGAAACTCGACGAGCGAATCTTCAAGCAGCTTCAAGAAACGACTTTCCAGTCGGTCTCACCGGACAATCCTCCATTTTATGATCTTGGTCCTACTCCATCTCCCAATATCGGATGCAGTATTCCCCGAAAACGACCGGGAAAGAAAGGGTCTATCAAAACAGTTAGGCGGAAAGTGTCGCTTAGTTTCCGGAGAGCTTCTGATCAGTTCCGTCGGGGAATCCGACAAATTCGTAACTTACTTAGCAGTTCGTCTGGAAGTGACAGACGAATTTAGGTTCAAGACACAATGAAAATCAACATTTTAGCTGTAGACTGCTGTAGAGGTTTAGTGTACCTCGCCTTATTTAAAGACCACATGATTGATACAATGTATTATCTAAAGAATTTTAGTTTATATTATAATATCTATTTTGTACTCGCTCTTGTATTACCATTTCATTGTAAATAAAGTTATTTATTAATAATCCTAGGTGGTTCTAGTCTTTCATGTCCGGTTAAACTAGAACTAAGTTTGGAACATAAAAT